ACACACACACACACACACACACACACAGTGGAATACTACTCAGTCATCAAAAGGATAAAATGATGCCATTTGCAGCAACATAGATGCACCTGGAGATTTTCATACTAAGTGAGGCAGAAAGAGAAAGAAAAATACCCTATGATATCACTCATATGTGGAATCTAAAAAAAAAATGACACAAATGAACTTATTTATAAAACAGAAACAGACTCACAGACATAGAAATCAAACTTAACGGTTATCAGTTGGTAAAGTGAGGGAGGGATACATTAGGAGTCTGAAATTTGTAGATACTAACTACTATATATAAAATAGATAAACAACAAGATCCCACTGTTTGGCACAGGGAACTGTATTCAGTATGTTGTAAAATCCTATAATGAAAGTGAATATGAAAAAAATACAGGTTTTACATATATATATATGTATATATGTGTATATATATATGTACATATATATATATTTGTATATATATATGTTTATACACACATATGAACAGAAACACTATGCTATACTCCAGAAATCAACACAACATTGTAAACAGACTATATTTCAATTAAAAAAAAATCCCATCCTCAGTTGTTTTTGCCAGGAGTCTGTGAGGATGAAATTTTGAAATCCTCTCTATAAATGTAGTCAAATCCAATGCATGAAGATTTCTATTGGTTTAGGAAGAAAGGCCAGAAAGCTCCTTAATGCCTTAGGCTGCATTTAGTCCTCTTTCTTTGTGAACTGTAGGCCATTTTGTAATATTTAAAAAACTGTGATTATTGTTTCAAGTATGATGCTAAGCACTCAATCTAGTCAGCTAGTTAGTGAGTTAGTTGCAGCTTATGGGTTGACAGTTTTTAAAGTTCCTCCCATCTTCTGAGCACCAGCATCTTCCATTCTAGTCATAACTTTCAATGAGGTTTGATAAGCGATCCAAAGGAAATGAGGTTCACTGGTAAACTTTTGTGTCATAGCATTGCACACCAGTTTACACACTCACAGTTCCAACGGACTCCTTTTTCATCTCTAGGGAAGTCATTGTCTTATAAACTGCTGGGTTTCAACAGTTGCATTTTCCTCTACATTTGAGTCAATTTTCATAATGCTTTTGAAACTGTATAAGAAAATCTGATCAAGTTCTCAGATTTTCACGCCAGTCTGTGTTCATAGGTACATTGAAGTTTCCGTGAATACTCAATTTATTCCTGACAGGAGATTTATTCAGTGTCATCAACTAAAATTGAACATATTTTGCCAGCCTTACCCAATTATATCAGTAATACTCCACTCCATGCACTGAACAAATCTATTTTTTGATTTTGTAGAAAGGCATATGTCACTTAGAGACAAAAATTCATAAAGCACTCCACTCTCTGAATCCAATTCAACGTCTCACTAAATTGCATTTTGGGCAGTCTCATGGGGAATGCATAAGTACAAAAACAGACTTTGGAAATAGGCAGGGGTTTTTATGAATCCGTTCTATCATTATGTTCTCTCTGTAATTATTTTCTTGGATTTTTTTTTCCATTTCTATTCAGCACGTAAAGTCCCCCAGCTGGAATTCCATGTGAATTTGTGTATATATTTGGTGACTCTCAGAAGTGCAGTCTGCAAAAGTAAGCCAAGTTCTGTATTGTTAGGGTTAGAGGAAGCCCTAGAGACTAGCTGCCCAGCCCTTGCCATTTCTGAGATGAGATACAAAGGTCTGGAGAATCAGGGAGACTCATGTAACCAGTGAAGTGAAGATAAAAGCTGATACAGAAGAGTAGCAAGCATCCTAGTAAAAATAATGATATTAAAGATCATAGTGTTTGCCAGGGACTGTGCGAGCCATGCTAAACGTGTAATTGTGAAGTACTGTAATGTAATTTTATTATTACTATTGTTATCTCATTTTAAATCTCACCATAATCATATGAAAATGATACTATACATGTGCCAAGGGTACAGAAGGAAAATAAAACCTGCAGCTTAAAAGGGTTATGGGATGTGCCCAAACCAAACAGACACAGTGGTGAAGCAGGCAGTAAAGCTCAGGATGCTTTTCCCCCAAGTCTAAGCTCTTAATCACTGCATGTGTTTCCTTCTTCTCTGTTCTATTTTTTTTTCCTTGTGTTTCCTCACCCAAGCCCTCCAGAAACCATCCCTAAGCAGCACCAAGGCAAGGCTGATTGTCCTCCCTGTCTTGAGTCCCTTTACCACTTTGCTCTCTGCTTGGGTTAAATGAACCTTCAAAATGCAGTACATTTTCTGAATGAACCACATAGTCAGCACAATACTGTGGGGTGAAGGGATGTCCTGCCTTCCTCTAGTGGCTCACAAGGTGCCTTATTTCCTTATGAGTTGATACAGGCTTGGTTGAAGAACCCCAAGAAATCCCTTAAAGCTCAGAACATAAAGTCACAAAAACTATTTTGGGATGAACCAGGACAAGGAGCTTGGAGGCATCATGGCAAAGCTTCCTTCATGCCTGGGAAATAATCAATATTGTGGAAGGAGTTACTATGAGAATACATTTTCTTGACTGGAATTGAGCTCAACTTTTGATTTCATGTTCACTTCCTTGTTTTGGATTCCTAGTCCCTGAGGACACTGAGATACTGAGATGAATGTAATCCTGTTCTGTTGTTCCAGAAATTTGTCAGAGTTGGACTTCTCCTGATTTACATTTTGAGGTAGTTGGCAGTATGGAAGGCAGTTAAACAGAAGGCAGTAGTCATTGAATTTACATATTTTGTGAATAAAACCTTAATTGGTTAAATTTCTGATATATTAATTTAAAGAATGCATGTGAAAATAAAAAAGCATATCTATTTTTGTAAAAGATAAATGTCTTTAAAAACTTATGCATCAAATGGGATGGTAACTTTATTTTCCAAGATTCTTCTCCTATTAAGTAAGAAATATCTTTTTTTTTTTCCCCTTTCAAATTACAGGGGATCTTCTCTCTGCCAGTGTGAATCATGAGAAAGCTCTGTGCTGTTCTCATAGAAGTAATTAATCTTTGACATTCACTTTTCAAAATTCACAATATTTTAGATTTATGGTTCCTCATGGGTCTCTACAGTAGGTTACAGAAAAAAAGGCTATTTTTAAGTTTGACACAAAAAATTCATCTGCCTAACAAATATTAACTTCTGTATTATTGCTACTTTGCTAAATGTGCTAAGTCCTGCTCCTGTGAGAGTTTCAATCCCATAATGCTGAACCAAATTGTTCACATTAGCATCGGATAAAATGTTCAAACTTGTGCCAACCTCCCCAAATTCCCAAGTTCTGCCCATTGCTGCTTGTAAAGCACCCATCACTTCTGATGAGTTCATTTAAATGCTAAACGCATTTATCTTGCATCCTTCACCCAATGAAGTCAGAGGGGAGTTTTACTTCAAATATGCATGAAGGCACTACGTTTTCAATGAACGTTATATGAACTATGAAGGAAATAAAATATGCTGGACTCACAGACACAGTGTATTAATATTCCCTGTTTTTTTTTATTCATGTTAAATGTTTCCTTGGGGGATTTTAGTTTTCTCTGCCTAATGTAGGAAATCAATCAGCTTCATCATAAGTCATTTGAAACTACTGTGAAAAACTTTATTTTTATGTCTCTTTAAATGGGGCTCGATCCAAATGTTAATACTAAAGTAACTTTGATACTGACAAATCTCTTATCAGCTAAAAGCCACTGATTTTTCTCAGCTTCCACATAGCCGGTCTAAACTGTAAAAGAAGTGTGATTCTGTCACTGTTATTCTAACCAGGACTGAATCAACCCTTAGGTCCTTATAAGGGTTTATTTTTTATTTTTTAAGTACTTTTACAATTAAACAAAAAGCCCTCTGAAACATAAATTATGATTACTGAAAAACTATTAGTAAAATATCTCTCCTTTGTCTTTCCCTACTAAAGAGAACTTAAAATTTTTTAACTCATAATTTAAATACAGATCTGTAAGGGAGAAAATGGAGCTAAACTATCTGCATGTATTGTTTATATGTTTTCTTATAAAAGCCATTCAGACACAATGAACCCTTGCTCTCCTGGTTTTCTAGAGACGCTCAGTGTCTCTACTATACTTTCTTCAGTCCCTTGTGCACACCTGTTTCGGCCACCATCATGCACATTGTAATAGCACATGGACTTGTCTGTCATCCCAATAGGCCCCTTGAGACACCAGAGTTTATTCAACTCTGGGTCTCCAGACCTCAGTACAGTATTCAGCAGAGTATAAACCTGGTAAATATTAGAAGGAAGAAAAAGGGAAGGAAAAGAAAGAAGAAGAAATGAGGGGGAAAGGAGGAAGGGGATAGAAAGGGGGCTAGAGGGAGAGAGAAAATCAGTTAGCAATTTATGTAGAAAATGGGAATTCCAATTTTTAAGAAAATAAATACTATCAAAACACACTGCTATAGCAAGCTGATTCTCAAAGGATTATTTAATATGTAAACACACATTTTTATAATTACAAAATGAAACCTTCAGGTGGATTCTAAAACCTGCTAGTAAGCAGTGAATACTACCAGATTTTCTGACTTTAGATCCAATTATTAAGTTTTAATAGTGAATAAGATCACCAGGTGTACATACATGAGCAATAAAAACGTTTTTAATCTGACTTTGGTGAGTCTTAAATCAAGACAGAAATATTACAAATGTGAACTGACATCAGCAGTATGTTTTTGTCTCACTTGTCTTTATTTCAGCTTATTCTGTCTTTAGTTTTAAAAGGACACTATATTACATGGTCAACGTCAGCAAACATAACACACGTGATGCGGAAACAGGGAGAAAACACCCGCAAGCTCACCACTGTAACACAGCCCCTCCTTATTTTCCTGAAAATCCCTCTAGATCTTTCTTTTTATGCACATATAAATATGTTTTATTCCAAAATTTAAAATGGTGTCATATATGGGACACACTTTTGAAACATGATTTCCTTAATGGTACATTGTAGTCAAGAAATGTGTCTCTGATTTCTGATAATAGTGGAATAGCTTCATGAGACTAACATGCACAGCACACTGTTTGAAGTCTGGAAGTGTCGTGGAGACTCCACGTTTGAGTCTGCTCAGGCTGCCATAACAAAATGCGATAGAGCAGGCTTACCTGCCTGAAATCGGAGGTGGGACAGGCATAGGACAAGCAGCCCCATTCCAAACAGAGAAATGAGAAAGAAGCGTGACAGACCTCAAGTAAGTTCAAAACTTGGCAAGGCAAGTTCCATTGGCTCGTAAGGCTCAAGAATAGATAGTCCTCTTTGGTTCAGTGCTCTGCCCTACTGGTCTACTGGGGTGGCAGTGTCACCCCTATGGCGTGGCAGGGCAGATCTGCCCTGTCACCCCGTGGGGCACCACCTCTGGGGCTCTCTGCTTAGGGCTTTCTGTAGGGCTCTACCCATGTGACTCTGTCTCGTTTAGTACAAGCTGGCAGTGTTTCTGCTGATAAAATCCCATCTCTAGTCCTTGCTTCTGCTAAGATGGCTGTTGGAAGTTCATGAACTGTACCCACGACCTCTTTATTGAGCGACAGTCCAGCCACACCTTTGATGTTCTCTTCCAAACATGCTTTCTCTCTCTCTCTCTCTTTTTTTTTGCAATATGAATAGGTTGAGAATTTTGCAAATCTTTAAGTTCTGGTTCCTTTTAGCTTAACAATTTCTTCAGTTCCTCTCTGTACTTATATTCTACTATGAGAGGTCAGGAGGAACCAAGCCTCTCCTTCAACCACTTTGCTCAAAAATCTCCTCAGCTAAATATCCATTTTCATGACTCACAAGTTTCACGTTCCATAAAACACTGGAACGCAGCTGAGCCAAGTTCTTTGCCGTTTTATCACGATGTCCTTTTCTCCAGTTTCCAGTAACATGTTCCTCGTTTCCCCTCTGACATCTCATCAGAATTGCCCTTAATGTCCATATTTCTAGCTTTTACCTCAAAACTCTTCTAGACGCTACCCATGACTGAGTTCCAAAGTTGCTTCCACATTTCTAGGTATCTGTTACAAAAGCATCCTACTTCTTGGCACCAACACCTGCTTGGGGCACTGTACTCACACACCATAGCCTGGGTGGCTAAAACAGTAAGCATTTCTCACTGTCCTGGAGGCTGGCAAGGCAGGTTTCATGCTGAGGTCTCTTCTCTTGGCTTCTAAGCGGCTGCTGCTTTGCTGTGTGCTACTTGACTTCTTTTGTGTGTGTGTTCTGAAGGTTCAAGCTCTAGTCTCTCCTTCTTTTTGTAAGGACACTAATCTCATTAGGAGGTTCTCCGCCCTTGTGACCTCATCTAAACCTTTTTAACTCCCAAGGACCCCACCTCTACGTATCATCACATTGAGGGTTAGGCTTCAACATATGAATCTGGGGGGAACATAAACATGCAGCCCATAGCACTACCCCTGGAAGACAGGAATTATACCTGGTGAAAGTTGCCTATTGGTGCTTTTTTGTTGTTGAAGGAAACTCTCAAATTGCTTGGTGCTTGGGGCAGCAGAAAACTATATCCTTACTGGCCTGAGATGTCAGAGGACAGTTTATTGCTGGTATAACAGACTGAAATTTAGTTGGGGAGATTACCGAAAGAAGGAAGACACAGAAGGAATACATATGAAATCTTCCCGAATTTTACTACTGAACAACTCTGGTGTCAGCATGACCCCAGGAAGCTGAAAAAACTGAGTGGAGATTTCCACTGCAGCTCAAGCCCAGGAGACAGAGTGTCCAGAGTAACTCTAGTCATAATAATCACCTGCTAGAACAAAAAAATCACACCTCAGGGAAACAACATTATCTGGAGTTTCTGTAACTGTGGTGACTTTGTACATGCCAGTTCAGCCAAATTGGGATTGCTTTCCCAGAATTCCTTTCTCTGTGTGGTTCTGAGTAAGCGTTGGCCACGAAAGAAATGTGCATGAGATCTCGATGGCAGACATGAAGGAGCAGCCATGGTTTATTTTCTGAAGGTAACTGCAGTAGCCCAGGTGTTGTCGCGACTCACACTTACTGTCACTGACCTGCTGGCTCATCTCGTAGAGTGAGGCAGTCGTGGGCCCACAATTCCTCCAGCTTTTTCCAGACTTCTTTCTTACCTTTTCTGACTCCTAGGACAGCTGTATGTGCAGCTCTGTGGTGAAAGGTGCAGTTTTATCCTAGAGCTCACCACCATCAGTGAGGTTGTGGGAGGTGAGAAACAGACACAGTCCCCCTAGATCCAGATTCGTCCCCTGGCATTTCCCCCTCCATGCCCATCTCCCCTTCTTGACAGCTGTCCTTGCTGACTTCAGCCCCAGAGAAGACAGATTTATATAGACTGTTCAGTTAACACCCACAATTGAGTTGATCTCAACTTTTAAATTCTGTTTCCTCATTGGTAAAATAGGGATAGTAATCTCTCTGCTGATTCACAAGGTGAATTTAAAATTAAATACATTTTTAATCACCTTGCCTACTTTTTCAAGTACATTTCAAATTATTTCACAATACGCTTTCCAATTGCAATGGATTCTTGTCCACATTCCCTACACACTGATTGGACTCTCCTTCTTCTATGACTTTGACATGCAAAATATGAGATAATGGCATTCCATTGAGGTTGGGAGACTTAAACAGTAACTTATGCATTGTTTAAGGTCAAGCTCGAATACCAAAACTTCTAGAGACATTCCCTTACATGCTTCTTGGCCATACTCAACCTTCCTTCTCCTATAACTGCCTAGCACTTCTGACACAACTTCAAATTAATTATTTCCTTAATACTAATCTCCATCAGGAGCCTGAGTTGTATCTAATTTAGCTACTAGACTGTGTACTTAATTAAGAAAAGAGCTTGCTTCAATCCCTGCTGCACAGTGCAACGCCTAGCACTCTATCTTTACAGTCACTGGCACTCCAGAACTGTTTCTTGATTTAAACTGGACTTATTAGTCCACATAATTATTCTGAACATTTGAAACAAATACTTGAGAGCAAGGATTCTGTTTTTCTTTTAAATCAACATAGATTTATTTTGAGAACCGGGATTAGTATGGTAGGGTTTAGGGGAGGCAGTGTCAAGAATGATACCGAGTGAGACTGAAGCATGTCAGTATTTGGAAAATGCTACAAAATACTGGTATAGCACGTGGCAGAAGTCTGTGGTAGAGTCTTCCAAAAAGTTGGGAATTCTCCAGATACCTTTTTACTGATTGCTAAATTAATCCCATTGTGATCAGAGAACAAACTGTCAGCGACTTGAATCCTGTCTATTGAGACTTGTTTTATGGCTCAAAATGTTACCTATCACGGTCAGTGTTCTTCGTGCACCTGAAAACAATACATAATTTGCACTATCCATACTTCATTTCTTGCAACACAAAGTGTGAGTTGCAACTTATATTCATTTAAATAGGAATTTACATGCACTGAAAGAGAGGAGCATTTAAAAAGTAACTTAGTACAAAGAAAGTTTGTGCTGAAGGTGAGCTCTGTGAGAGCAAGAGTTTTTATTGTATTTATTTAGTATTCTGTTCCCAGAGACTAAAACAGTGCCTGGCACATAGTAGGTGCTCAATAACAGCTATTTAAATGAAGGAAAAACTGAAAGTCAATTGGTTCTCATGACAACTCTGTGATTACAATAGCGTACACTTGCTGTGTGCTTACCCTTCATCTAAAATCATTCTATGTCTTTACATGGGTTAATTTATCTAAAGCCTTATGAAATAGGAAATTGTATATAATAACCACAATTATGTCTGTATGGCAGTTCCATACTTTTTTGATTATTGTGACTTTGTTATGTATTTTGAAGTCAGGAACTTTGATGCTTCTGGCTTTGTTCTTTCCCAAGATTGAATTGATTATTTGTGGGTTTTTATGGTTCCATATGAATTTTAGAATTTTTTTTCTATTTCTGTAAAAAAAAATACCATTGGAATTTATGGGGATTGCACTGAATATGTAGATCACTTTAGGAAGTATGGACATTTTAACAATGTAAGACTTCCAATCCACAGACATGGGATGCCACTGTGTATCTGTACCTTCTTTAATTTCTTTCACCATTTTTTGGTAATTTTCAATATATAAGTCAACTCCTTAATCAAATTTATTCCTAAGTATTTTATTACTTTTGGTGCTATTGTAACTGGGATTATTTTCCTAATTTCCTTTTCAGCTAGTTCACAGTTAGCGTAGCTGTTTTTTTTTTAGTGTTGATTTTGTACCCTGCAACTTTACTGTATTTGTTAGTTCCAATAATTTTATATGGAGTCTTATGATTCTACTTTGATTTCTTTCACCTCATTTGTAGTAGTGTCAGGAATGCAGGAGTTATTAATATAGCAATTAAAAAAATAACTTTAACTACTATTTCAAGTAGAGTTTAGAGCACCCAAATGCCATTTTTTTTACCCCAAGATTGAAAAACCTGGATAGTCCTATTACAATGAGGAAATTGTATGGAAATGTTTAGAAAAAGAACAAACCTGAGTTTCTTTAATACTCTGTTAGACAATTCATTGTGGAAATGCAAACTGTTAAAACTGAATTCTTGACAAATTTTTATTAAGAAATGGACAGGTACTCTCGCCTTGCCTGGGTTTTATTATTACTACTGTCTGTGTGACTCCCAGAAACAGTCATTTCTATTACTGTCTCCTCCTCACGCGGAGCTGCATCTCGCACTGTAATTCAGAAAACAATGGTAGTGGTAAAAGCTGAAGTAAAGATGTGGCCCCCTCACTGTGGTTTTGCTCAAGCTAGAGATGTCCTTACAAAAACTTGAGGATGCATAAACTTGGAATCCACAGCCTCCCCTGAAAGCCTGAACAAGCTCACTCATGCTCTTTCTCTCTTTAACATGCCACCCTAGATCTAGTGAAATAACTCATTTATTATAGTTTTTAATGCACAAGCATGAAATACCAGAAAGACAATTTAATCCTGAATTTCTAGAAGCCAATCCTCTTATGTTTGGGGGAGTGTAACTAACTACAAGTTTAAGGTAAGAGTTAGCCTTTTTTCCATTCCTTGCCTAGGCTGAGTTTACTCCACCAGCAAGTTTAAATACTCTGTTTCTGCTTAGAGTAGATTCGCCATGATAGCTCTGTAACTGGAAATAATTACTTTGATTTCAGCAAATCTTACAGAAGAGTAGTTAATCCTACCATGCACGTACCCTTTTGACACAGCCTTAATCGCACCACTAGGAGAGGCACGATAATAACCCTTGCAGAGAGGATGCTTTTAGTGAGAGGGTGCATAATGGGGAGAGAAACGGAGAGGCCTGAAAGGAAACAAAGCTTTGAATCACGCAGAGCTGAGTGAACAGTCTGGGGCCATGTATACTAAAAGCGATTTAAAATAAGAGCTGTAACGGAATTTTACAGAATCAAATTGAGTGAAGTCATTAGAAAAATGGATATAGTGTTCAGGAAAAAAAATGTATATTGGTACAGATGAATCAGGCTTGCCATGTGTGGTTTCAGTTTTTGATCTCTTGCTAAAAGAGATGAGCCGAACTTTTTCTTTTATCCCCTTGCTCATTGCAGGGGAAGCAGGTCAGTGTCTTGACTTTATTTGCCTAAATAGTGTGGTCATTAAAGGAAGGAGGTATCTTTTAAATCCACCTGCAGTATAATCTTAGAAGGGGTGTGAATCTTGGAGAAGGATCCTTAGCATATTCTATGACCTCACAATTTTACTCCAAGTAGGGACTCTAGCCCTCAGCTCCAGCCCAGCCATCAGTGCTCTTTCGCATCAGCAGTATCAGAACTGTCACTGCTTGAACTTTAATGGTGAGTGAAACCAACAAGAGACTGACTGTGACTAGACAGCTGATCTTGACATGGATTGGAATGTGGAACTGGTGGTTTTATCCACAAGGGGCCAAGAAAGTTCATCCATAAAGGATGTATTCATTTTATGTATGTTTTATTCCTTTTAATTTTTTCCCGTAGTTTTTGAAATATACTTGCTTTGGAGTTAGGTATAACCAGGTCTTATAAAGCCATTTATCGCACATGTGTGATTTCATTTTATGAGAGGGAAGGAGGGAGGGCTGGAAGGGGAGGAGAGAGAAGGAGAGAGGGAGAGGGTTTGTTTACCAGTTTGAGAGATACTTTCTTCTGTCTCACCCAGTGCGTGTATGAGTTGGAACAGTGGTTATTTAGGTGCTAAGTGTGGTGTGCTGACCAGTGGCATCAACCTTCACCCAGGATGTGTTAGAAATCCAATTCTCAAAGACCTACCCCACACCCACTGAATCACAAACTCTAGGGGTGGGGCCCAACAATCTGAGTTTTAATTAGCCCTCCTCACCAATGCTTCTGATGGACAAAATTTTGAGAGCCACTGACTTGGAGTAGGCATGGGATTGAAGATGTCAGTTTACTGTTGCCTCAGTCTTGGCTGCCCTGTTCTCTCATTATGTGAGCTGAATAATCATGATTCTGCATTTAAAATCAAGTTTATATTTTCCATGCAACATAGCTGCTACATATAAGTCAATATTTTGAGTAATATTAAACAAAGTAACACCAATGTGTTAAAATTTGGCTGAGAAAATAACTATATATATACACACACATTTCCTGAGAAAAGGTGTCATTTGGTACTCAGCAAAATTAAAAAGATTTCCGAGGGAACTTCTGACTATATGCAATGTTTACATTAGAAACAACTTTAGTATTTCTACCATCATGCACATCAAAGGTAATTTAATGTAGCTACTCCCTGTTTTTCTGGATAAAATTCTTGACAGGTTAGGAAGAGGGAGGAAATGGAAACCAATGAAAATATTTTTGACATTTTCATTCATGTGATACTGTAATATAGTCAAGATTTCATTTAATAGAACTGATTTAACACTCCCAGTAAGCACGCAAAATGGTTACAGAAAAGAAAACTGAGCTCTCAGAGAACTTAAAGACAGGTTTTAGAGTTTTTTTTTTTGGTATTCTTTAATGATGCTAAAAATAACATATCATAAAATTTACCATCTTAACCATTTTAAATGTACAGTTCAACAGTGTTATGTATATTCACATTGCTGTGAAACAGACCTTTTCATCTTACAAACCTGAAATTCTATACCCATTAAATGACAACTCCTTTATCCCCCCTCCCCCTTCAGCTCCTGGTAACAACCATTAGGTTTCTCAGAATTTGACTATTTCAGAGATGATGTTTATTTAATCAGTATATAAATCTAAATATTTCTGGTCCCAAAGTCTGTATTCTTTTTCCTTCATAACATATTACTTGTTAAACTGAGTGAAAACAATATTCCTGGTATCTAAATTATATTCCTTTCTTAATAATCTGAGTATGTGCTGTATTCAGCTGTATCGAGGCTGCTCTCTTGACAATTTTTCATGAGCATAGGCTATTTTTTCCCATTTATCTCTTGCTGATCCTTAAAGTGGCCTCGCCGTTCCTTTCTATCTATGGAAACTCTAACCAACATTTAAGTTCCAGTCCTCCCATTCTCTCCACAGTGGTGTCTTCACTTACCTGTCTTGAATTTCCCATAGAAACTACTGCTTCACTACACATCTCGTCAATAACAGACTCGCTGTGCTTGGAAGGACCTTAAATTCCAACTAAATCAACAATTCATCCAGTACTTGAATTTCCTCAACGATAAAGCATAGGCTTGTTCACCCCCAGAAATGTCTGGAGTTCATTCTATTTTTGTGCATCTCTATTAGAAATCTCTTCCTCATTTGGAGTTAAAATTTGTGCCATTTCAACTTACACCCATTCTTTTTTGGTGCTCTCCCTTGGTGCCATATGGGGCGAGCTTAATGTCCTTTCCAAATAATAGCTCATAAAATATTAATATTCTCATGAATCTTTTCTTGTCCAATATAAACATTTTCTACCTTTAATCAATAATTTTCAAAGGTCTTCTTTGCTCTGGCTATAAGCTTAAAATAAGACCAATTGCTTTTTCTCTTAAAAATGATATCCTAAACTAAACTAGTTTTGTGTGTTCTACCCAGTAGGGTTAGAAAAAAACATTTCCTCATACTTGTTTAATGAACGCTAAGGTGATATTATTATTATTACTATTGTTTTTGGCAGCCAGTCTTCTCTGATGTCTTTCAGCTCACTGTTTATATAAACTCATCACTGGTAGAAACTATTAACTACATGCCAAATATGCCACTAAGACAGATGAAGGCAATCCTGATTCTGTTCTCTTTTTACTGGTTTCTCTCCAGTTCACATGTGTATGTCTTTCATGTGTGTGTGTTCCCAGTGACAGAAATGTGATCTTGCCTGGTGCAGAAGTTATAAACCCAACTTTTGTAACTTACTCTGGAGAACAAGTTTGAGCATACTTAGTAAACATATGTGGAGAAAACTATACACACATTTTATTACTTTATTCTTTTTAAGTTGCCCTAAGTCCATCACAGAGTTCTTAAGTCCCACAAAATTGACAAAAAGCTTCCAAACATTTCATGAAAACATGCCCAACTTCGCAAATTTCTATCTCTGAAACCAGGTGGGTTTTTAAAACTACCCTAATTAACAGTTTCAGGAAGCATGTCATTGAACGTATTTATAAGCAGAAAGCTTTCTCTGGAAGTGAACCAGGATGAGCTGAGATGAAGCTTTGGTGTCTGTTTCTGGCTGTCACTGACTCACTTTCCACTGTGGTGAAATGCCAATTAACCTCCCCCAGTTTCCTCATTGGTGATATTTTAAAAAAAAATCACTTGGAGGTTGAGAAAATGGAGATTGTGGAAACTTTCTGTATGTGTAGATAACAGGTACTGTGTAAATGAAACACCTAATTTTTTAAATGATAGAAGCAGACTAAATTTGAGCAGGAATTAATGATAACCATCTAAGTCATTTTTAGCAGGCAGCACTTAATATTTGTTTGTACTTCTTTTAAACATTTATACAGAAGATATCAAACATCTTATCAAAGAGACAAGGCTGAAGTAGGATTTCCAGAATTGAAAACTTTTCTAGACCATTTGGATCTGTATACCTAAAGTATTCTTATTCGGGTTTCTCAGGACAAAGGATTAAATAGTATATATTTCTCATTAGCTATTGTCTTAGATTTAATGTGTAGTTTACATCCAGGGATTACCAGACTTTCCATTTGGAGCTGTGTGCATGTGTGTGTGTGTGAGAGAGAGAGAGATGCTGATTCAAGGTCAGTTTATTTAATCATATGCTACTGGTTGCATCTTTTTTAAAAAAAGAAAAGAAATTTGTTCTCTTTTTTAAAATATATTTTAATGAAGTATAGTCAGTTCACAATGTTGTGTCAATTTCTGGTGTACAGCACAGTGCTTATCATATAGGAACATACATATATTAATTTTCATATTCTTTTTCTCAGAATTTGCTTTCAGTAAGAGAGCTCTCATAACTTTCCAGTAGTTTCTGTTTACCTAATTTAATAGTCAAGTTACTAAAACTTTTATGTGATGTCATACAAATACCCTAGAACTGAAACGACAATTTTTGTTAAAAGACCATATTGATGTCTTGGATGAATCTTCTAGTTTTATCACGGTTCATTTTACCTATTCATAGAATTTAATTTCATAATTTTTTTTCAACCTAGAGCATTTTAACTGGCTATTTGGTGTATTAAAGTTGTATTTTAAAGAGACATATTCATATAAGTAAGAGAATAGAAAGTAATAAAATTAATTGAAGCTAGGATTGAGACACTGGAATGACATGTAAGAAAAAAGTTTAAGAGAAGGATGATCTAGATTTTTTTTTTAAAAAGTGAAGGATAAGGAGTTGAAGGCTAGAAGAGAGTTACAGATCCTAATTTTTGCTGAGCCTGGTCCAAACTTAAAATCCTTTTCCAAAGCATGTTCCAGGCATTCACTACTGATTGATACAAGTGTGCATTTGAGATGAAAAACTATTTGGTTTCTATTTTGGGATTCAGGCACTTGAATGACTAAGTCTCTTGCTTTTGATGGCAATATCTTGAATGAGTCGTTTCTCAGCAGTGGGTGTCAAATAATGGCATTTAAGAACTTGAATGATGATATCTGCATCAACTCCCTCATATAAGAGAAAACAATACCACTGTGAGATCAGAAGAAATCAAGACTCTGGCATTTACAGAGCAGCAGGAAGGAACTGCCTTGTGACAACATTTCATTTCACTGACAAGAACATGCTTGGCTGCGAGTCTTAGGCACTGATACATCAGCCTCTCTAGCTTCTTGAAGGAAAAAACCCTTTGGGATGATGATCGAAGGTGACAACTACATTATTGTATCCTACCTCTGTTGTGTCAGTGAACATGGCATGATTTGCTAGAATACAGCATGGGTTACCATCAACTCCACTCGCTAGAAGGAATATGCCAAGGTTAATTAGAAACAGGTGCCCTTGTTTGCAGAGCCTCCTATTTGCATGGACTGGCAGGCATACTCATTTGGGGGTACCCCTCATAGTGTACCTCCAAAATCAGTCTTTAGAGTGATAGGATAGGTACTGGGGCAATACTGAGATATCTTCATTCAACAAATACTTCTCATTTACTAAGTGGAAAGCAGAGTTGATAGTTACAGGAGATAAAAACACAAAGCATGTAAAGCCCTTGCCTGCAGAAATTCAAAGTGTATCAGAGAAAATACTTGTATTCATTCATTCTTCGTATCTTAACACAAATGTGATTTCTTTGAGATCAGTTTTCTCATTAGTTCTTACATGTGCTCATTTCTCACAGAAATCTTGACAATTGTAATGTCTTTCTCCCACTGGCTTATGAACTTTATGTGGCCCTACTCTGAGTCTGCTTCTCCATTTGTAAACCTAGTGTTGTTTGATCTATAGGACATGCTCAATAGATAGTGTTTAAAAAAAATAGATCAATTCATTATAGAAAGGCTGAGCAATAGCACGTGTGTTGTGTTAGCACAAATTCAATGTGCCATTGAAGTCTGGGGCAGAAAGGAGTTGCCTCTGACTGGATAGAACATGAAAGTTTTCATGAAGCATCTCAACTGAGCTTTAAAAAGTAGAGGTTGTTTGGATTTACAGAGATATGATGCAGTAATAGAAAGAGGTGAAAACTAGGTACAAACTCAAAAGGAAGGCAAAAGAAATAGTTTTGTCTATTTATCTATCATCTGTTTATTCAAATACATGTTGAATAAGACTAATGGAAGTAGTTTTCTTTCTCTTTCTGGCTTACTCACTTAGAATGACATTCTCCAGGAGCATCCATGTTGCTGCAAATGGCGTTATGTTGTCGCTTTTTATGGCTGAGTAGTATTCCATTGTATAAATATACCACTTCTTCTCTATCCAGTCACCTGTTGGTGGACATTTAGGCTGTTTCCATGTCTTGGCTATT